TGGTCATTCCCAGTCCACACGGCTTCACAAAGAGCCTGTGAAGATTCCGACAGACGTCTGCTCGAGTTGCCACAGTCTTTCAGGGGAAGGTTGATAAAGACCCACCTGATCTCCCTTGCGATGCGGCCAGAGACCTAATTTGCCAAATGCAGAGCAAGGCCAAACTTAGNAGTTGTTCACCTAATTTTGCAAAGCTTCTTCTCCGGTAACACTGTACTGCAAACTAGGGTATACAAAACCTTTGCCAGACCAATCCTTGAATACAGCTCGTCTGCCTGTTTTTATTCTGTTCTGTCCTGTCCTAATTCTATTCTATTCTATTCTATTTTATGCTACTCTACGTTATTCTAATCTTATTGTATGTTATGCTATGCTATTGACTGTATTATTATTATTATTCTCTTCCTTAATAGTGTGCCCATAAAGAATTGTATTGTATTGTATTGTATTCCATTCCATATTCTATTCTATTCTATTCCATTCCATTTCTATTTTCTATTCCTATTTTTATACTGTTCTGTTCTTTCCTAATTCTATTCTATTCTATTTTATGCTACTCTACGTTATTCTAATCTTATTGTATGTTATGATATGCTATGCTATTGACTGTATTATTATTATTATTTTCTTCCTTACTAGTGTGCCCATAAAGAATTGCATTGTATTGTATTGTATTGTATTGTATTGTATTGTATTGTATTGTATTCCATTCCATTCCATATTCTATTCTATTCCGTTCCATTTCTATTTTCTATTCCTATTTTTATTCTGTTCTGTCCTAATTCTATTCTATTCTATTCTACTCTACATTATTCTAATCTTATTGTATGTTATGCTATGCTATGCTATTGACTGTATTACTATTATTCTTCTCTTCCTTCCTAGCGTGTCCAGTCACACTTGGCCCATAAAGAATAAAGAATTCTGTGTTTGAGGCGATTGGAGCCCTGGTTGAAAAGCCGTGATAGTTTGGTGTGGCAGCGCACACCACGGGGTGGTGCAAAAGACAATGAGGCAAAGCGGCATCTGTTTCCAAGAAGGCCACGTCCCTGGAGGAGGTTTCTCCAGCACAGATGGCTTCCGAGCACCAGGCGCTCCGTCTATCAGGAGATACTCGGAGGAAAGAGTTCACCTCCTGCAAGCGAAGGCTACAGACGGAAAGTTCCTCTCATTAGCAAACTAATGAACCCCCCAAGATACCCAAAGTTGGGGGAAAGTACCTTGAACCAACACACAGCGGCATGTGTTGGGAATTGTGAGACTGCGTGATGGGGATTTGTGTAAAGTGTGAGTGCAGAAGAAAACTCCACACCGTTTTATTTTAACGGTATAATAGAGTTGGGAGGGCCCTTGGAGGTCTTCTAGTCCAACCCCCTGCTCGAGCAGGAGACCCTCCACCGTTTCAGGCAAATGGCTGTCCAGTCTCTTCTTGAAAGCCTCTAGTGATGCAGCATTCACAACCTCTGAAGAATTTACTCCTTTCCACTGATTAATTGTCCTCACTCTCAGGAAATTTCTCCTTAATTCCAGGTTGCTTCTCTCTTTGATTAGTTTCCATCCATTGAATCAGAATAGAGCTGGAAGGGACCTTGGAGGTCTTCTAGTCCAGCCCCCTGCTCAAGCAAGAGACCCTATGTCATTTCAGACAAGTGGCAGTCCAGTCTCTTCTTGAAAGCCTCCAGTGATGCAGCATTCACAACCTCTGAAGAATTTACTCCTTTCCACTGATTAATTGTCCTCACTGTCAGGAAATTTCTCCTTAATTCCAGATTGCTTCTCTCTTCGATTAGTTTCCATCCATTGAATAGAGCTGGAAGGGACCTTGGAGGTCTTCCAGTCCAGCCCCCTGCTCAAGCAGGAGACCCTATGTCATTTCAGACAAATGGCGGTCCAGTCTCTTTTTAAAAACCTCCATTGATGAAGCACCCACAACTTCTAATGGCAACTTCTGTTCCACTGGTTGATTGTTCTAACTGTCAGGGAATTTCTACTTAGTTCCAGGTATTCTCACCTAGGCTTCCCAAGAAAGCATAAATCACAGTCTTAGTCCCCAAAACCCTCTTTTATTTATAAGGCTGTGAATTATGGTCATTCCCAGTCCACAAGGCTTCACAAAGAGTCTGTGAAGATTCCGACAGACGTCTGCTCAAGTTGCCACGGTCTTTCAGGGGAAGGTTGATAAAGACCCACCTGATCTCCCTTGCTATTCGGCCAGAGA